AATACATCCAGGTATTGGTTGTGTCAGGAAACGTCTCATTGTGTACTCTAATCTATCACCATCTATGAAGAGGTGAAAAGTGCGCTTCTTTTGAACTTATGATTGGCCATTGCACTGATCAGAATTCTGAAGTATGACACACACTGAAACACACATATATACGTATATATATATATATATATATATATAGTGTGTGTGTGTGTGTGTGTGTGTGTGTGTGTGTCTGTGTGGTTGTTTTCCTGGTACTGCTTTCTTCAGTCTGCATATTTATAGAAGCTTTCCCAAAGTTTTCCTTCTTTTTTCTTTTTAAAAAAGATTTATTGATTCATTTTGTTTTCACATTAGTCATTTCTCCTTTAAAAGAAGCCCTAATGCTAAAATAATCCTTTCATATAACAACGAAAAACATTTAAAGAAAACCATAGACACAGTGATGGAAAGTATATGCCACTCTCCACCTCCCTAGTGCTGAGCATATAGACCTCTGATGAACAGGAGGAATGTTTCCTCACCTATAGTCATTACATGATAGATCATTGCACCAATTTAAGTGGGATTTACTTTAAATGTTGTTTGCATTTCCATGAGTACAGTCATTGTGCAGAGCACAAAGAGGCAGCTGGATGGTTCAGTGGATAGAGCTCTGGGCCAGGAGTTAGGAAGATGGCCTCAGGTAATTATTAGCTGTGTGACCCTGGGCAAGTCACTTAACCTCTGCTTGCCTTAATATACTGGAGAAGGAAATGGCAGACCACTCCAGTTCTTTGTGAAGAAAACCCCATCGAATGCATGCGCATGCTATGGGTGCATGGGGCATCATGAAGAGTTGGACACGATTCAACAAATAGACAACAACAAACACTGGACACAAGCATTATCATGTTTCTTTGAATATCTCATATTCCTCATTTTTTTATACTGCAATACCATTCCATTCTATTTATGCAGCACAATTTGTTTGGCTGTTCCACTCTTTTTCTGTGGTCCCCCCCCCTACTGTAAAGATTGCTGCTATGAATTATTTGGCATTTATAGGATTTTTCTTATAGAATCTTTCTGTGGTCTTCTTTAATTGCAGACTACATTAGGGTTAGAGTTAAAGGCTAAGAAAATTTTAGTAAATTTTCTTGCATAATTCTAAACTTTTCCAGAATGGATTGACCAATTCTTAGCTCCATCAATTGTGTATTAGTGCAGCTTTCATCTCACAACTCTTCCAACATTGACAACTCCCATCTTTTATAATCTTTATATATAATTTTATAATCAATTTGTTTGAGATGATACCTCAGAGTTGTTGTTGTTGTTTTTTTTCTCAAATGATTGTGTAACTGGAAACTGGGCAGTAGGGACCTAGTCTTAAAAATGTGTTCAGTGGGCTCTTCCTGCTGCCCACTTACATGGGGTCTCAGTAAACCTGTTTCTGCACATGTGCAATGGATGGGCCTAGCTTCTTTCTCAGAGTGTGCATAGGTATTTTGTGATTGTTTCCTGTCCACTTATTGCATGGTTAAGAAAAGAATTTTAATGGGCTGGTGAGACAAAACTGAATGTGCACACAAAAAGGCATGAAATTAATATCTTTTCTGTAAGCCTCATGGGGAGAGAAGTAGTACTATACTTGAGGGATTGGATACCTATTGGCCAGTCTCTTGTTATAGTTATTTTTAGCTTGCATGTGTTTGGAAATATTCCACATCATTTGGTGACTTATTTTGTGGGGAGAGAGAGGACAGTACTTTGTATTTTAAATTGTTAATTGTTTATATATCTTAACTATCTGACTTTTATCAGAAAGATTTGATGCAAACATTTTTCTCCACTCTAATGCTACTCTTCTTGACCTATTTGCATTGATTTTGTCAGTGCCACAACTTTTTAATTTTATACTCTAAAAACTGTATAATTTACCTTTGTGAACTCTTCTCTCCCTTGTTTGGTTTTGAATTACTTTTCCAATGATAGTTAAGAAGCATTCCTCCTGCAATCACTGCTGATGGTTTTCATTCTTCTGGAACTCCTTTAGCATGAGTTGCAGTAGCCTGGCCTAAATCTATTTTCTTCTAAACTTTTTTTCAGAGTTCCTAGAATTACTTCCCTTAGCTGTTTGTATTTTTGAGTTTACTAAGCACTGAGTTGCACTGTTGATTTTCTTTTGGGTCTCGATTATCTAGTCTGGCCCATTGATTATCTTTTCTATTTTATTAAATCAGTGCCAAATGGTTCTAGTTATTATTGCTTCTGATTCTTTTTTTATTTATTTGTTTGTTTGGTTTTTTCTAGGCAATGGGGTTAAGTGACTTGCCCAGGGTCACACAGCTAGTAAGTGTTGTGTGTCTGAGGCCGGATTTGAACTCAGGTCTTCCTGACTCCAAGGCCAGTGCTCTATCCACTATGCCACCTAGCTGCCCCTGATTCTTTTTTTATACCATAGATGAAGTTCAAGTGAGTGAGTAGGACCCTGTATGTTCTATTATGTGGCCATATTAACTGGAATTCTGCCTCTCTATATTTCAACTTCAGTTTATTTCAATACTTGGTTTTAATGAAGGTCATAGCTGATAAGGATACCTCTCGAAGACAGGTAGATAGATCCAAATGGAAGAACAGTATCATTGGTTGAGCTTACTAAATCATAATACTAATTTTTAATCTCATCCACTAGTTATGTATATTATTTTCCTGAAATGTTGCCAGTAAAACTGCATTGTACCAGATTCCAATGTTATTCATGCAAAAAAAAAACTGATGGTTTTTCTTTTTTTTTTTCATTTTTAGCAAATAGGTTCCAAATCTACTGCAGTTTTTTATTTGAAATACTTTTAAACAGGTAAAATTATAATTTCAAGTTTTTTTCAAGCATGCATATATGAGAAGTTTTGTAGGTAACACATCTTTTTGAACTACAAAATCATGTAAGAGTGGAAAAATTTCTCAAAAGTCATTTTTTAAGAATACTCTTACCATAGCATGAGTTTCTTTTTAAAAAGCAATAACTTTCTCACTCATTGGCAAAGCATCATCTTTTTCTGTTATCTATGGTAACTAAACACAGATATGTAAGACTGTTGGGAAACGGGGTTCAGACACTCCTTGGTACAGTTAGGGAGGTACGGGGGAGCTGTCGCAGCCTACTGCTTCCCTAGTTGCAAACTCTCAGAGTTCTGTTCTCTTTTAGGAAACAAAACTGAACCAAGTGACTGAAGGAAGCATTTATTTACGGTTCTTGCAAGAAGCAGGTGAAATGGTACCCCAGAGGGACACACAGACACACACACCAGACACACACACCCAGGAGCGAGAGCAAACCTTATATCCCCATGACGGGTGGCAAGTCCCTCCTAGCTGACTTTCGTTGGTACAAGTCAGCATAGGTCACAGACTTTCCGAAACACCTACGACATGTTTCCCTTGGTATGTTTCCCCTCCCTTCAGCACATGACACATGTTAAAAATGGCATCTTAACCCCGCTTGGAGGTGGAGAAGCTAGTATTCATGAACCCATTACCCAAGCCCACTCTAAGTAAAGCTTAACCTTTGTCCTACTTCCAGCCTCTGTAACCAAACAACCAGTTTCATCCGCTTTTAACCAGTCCTAGAACCTCTGACCTAGAGCTACCTTTTCTCTCAATTTCCTTATATGGAAATATAATCATTTCTTAACCTCTCACAAGGACCAAAAGCAATTTCTCCAAAGGGTCCTAGCAAACTATCAACAGCTTTATAAATGAATACTTCAAATTACTAGTGAAAAAAGAAATATAAATCAAAGCTACTTGGAAGTTTTCATTGACACCTAATAAATTGCAAAGATGATAAATGATGAGAAGAATCATTGTTGGAGGGCTTGTGGAAAGACAGTCACACTCGTACTCTTGGTGGAGATGAAAATTAGTCCAGCCATTTAGGAAGAAATTTTGAATTATGCTAAGTCAGTGACGAAAAAGCCTACATCCTTTTATCTAGAGATTTCGTTGCTGGGCATCTACACACAGGGAGTCAGTTATGGAAAGGTGGTCGATTACATATTCACCAAAATTATATCAGCACTTTTCATAGTAGCAAAGAGCTAGAAACAAGACAGATTCCCATCAGCTTAGGGAATGGCTTAAAGCAGGTTGTGGTACCTGAATGTGATAGAGTATTATGGAGCCATAAGAAGTAATGAATATAAAAAACACAGGAAGGCATGGGACAATTTATGTGAGGTGTTACAAAGTGAAATATAAGCAGTGTCTGGGATATATACACAATGTATTTATACAACGCTATATACAATGATTACAACAATGTAAATGGGGAAAAAAGTAATAACAAAATCTAAACTAAAAGCTATGTAATTATAGTAACTAAGCCTAGCCCTGAGAAAGAGATATAAATAGGTGCCTCCTTCCTAATTTTTGCCAAAGCAGGTAACTAGGAATGTGGAAAATACAACCGCATGTTGTTAGACCTGATTGATGGATTTGTTAATTTTCCTAAATGGTGTTGCCTAATCTCTCTCTCTCCCCCACCTCCTTTTTAGTTCTTGGTTATAGGGATGGTTGTCTGAGTGAGGAAGGGGAAGGGATATGTACCGGGAAAAGGAGGTGTTATAAAAAGAAGAGATACCAATAAAAAAATTTTAAATGTGACCTTTACCTTGAAGGGACAGATTAAGTGTATGTGTTTTACGTTGCCAGGAGCTAACCAGAAGACCTCTTTGTGGAACAAATGTTGGCATATGTAATCTTTGAGAATTAAAGGATTTTTAGTTAGGGAAGTTTGTTTTGGTAGTACTTACCATATAAATACTTTGCGACAAAAAACATGCTTCCCCCCAATACTCAATCTAATACTCTACAAGTATTATTTGTCATATATAGTATGTATCTTCTAATATCTTTTTTTTAAAGAAAATATTTCTTACTCTTCCTGTAGCGTATTTCACGAATTTGGAGAATCAGATAAGTTTTTTAGGTAATTGAAATCACAGGGACTAATTTTCTCAGATGCTTACAAGTGAAAATAGATATAAGATCTCAAGAACCTTGGCCCAGCCCAGTGTCCTCTGGCCCTCAGCATCACTCTCCTCTTGTCTAGACCCTCACCTCCCCTAGCCACCAAACAACAACAGAGCTAATCCAGAGCGGCCCCAGGAGCAGTGCTCTCTGCCACGCCCTGGCCACAGCAATCACTGTGACTACAACAATGGATCCCCTCTGAGTGGGAGGGGTGGGAGTGGCTGCCCTGAGCCTTTGTCCAGTAATGATATCCTTTGGAGCCACTGCCCCTATGGCTAACAGTGTTCCACCTCTTGCCTCTCTTTGGATCCCTGTGGTAATCAGTTACCGGCCACAGAGCAGAAAACTATCATCCCCAGCCTCATCCCCCACATACCACACATCTCCCACTCTAATCTGCTGACCCCTTCCACTGTTCCCTTTGAAATCCCTGTTTAATCATGGATGAACTTTCCTTCATCCTGCACTTCTTTGTCTCATGCACCTTTTACTAGTCGTCATTGAAATCTGTCTTCGCCCTTATGATACTGCCCAATCCACTGTGTTACTCACATACCTTCACTCATACCCCAACACAGTGGTTCTGGAGAGTGTTGGAATACCTCTTGCTCCCTACTGTCATTTCCAAAATCTCAGTTTACCTTTATACCTCTCTTCCTCTGAAGTTCAAAGTATTAAAATTTCCCACCCAATTCAGATTGTGGTGGCTGTTGTATCCTGGCTCCCAGGTCATTTTCCTCTTGTCTCAAGGCTTTTTTTTGGGGGGGGAGGGGGGCTAGGCAATGGGGTTAAGTGACTTGCCCAGGGTCACACAGCTAGGAAGTATAATGTGTCTGAGGTCAGATTTGAACTCAGGTTCTCCAGAATCCAGCGCTGGTGCTCTATGCACTGCACCACCTAGCTGCCTCTGTCTCAAGGTTTTTAGCACCTGGTTTAGCACCTTCTCTACAATTCTTGTTTTTATATTATGGGACATCAACATTTGTGTTGATACTCCTTCAGATTTCCTAACTTCCCAAGTCTTCAGTGTCCTTAAATCCCGTGACCTAGTCTTTTATTTCACCTTGCCCATAAATAAGGATGGTTACACACTAGATCTTATGATAACCCACAAGTGTTCTGCTTCTATAATGAAAACTTCTATTAAAGAATGTCTTCTTCCATAAAGAATATCTTTTAAATCCATTCTTCTATATAACCTTAACCTAAGTGTTACCCCTCCTAAACCCATTCTTGGCTTCTCTTGAGATCTCCAATCCCTCCCTGCCACCTTCAGCATTTTCTCAGGCTATTGCCACTACTTTGATCAATAGTCGCCAGTCAATAAACATTTATTAAGCACCTACTATGTACCAGGTGGGATTTTTGGGATGTTAAGGGAAGAGCATCTCTGATGAGAGGGCTTGCTGAGCCCTTTTCAGGGCTGCTCATTCACCTTTGGTGCCCACCTGTGGCTCCAAGAAGCTGTAGCATGGGCAGTGGCCACAGCCCAGTAAACCACCCCTGCAGACAGGAAAAACCAGGTGGAGGGTAATGGACATGCCTCATTCCTGTAGGTGAGGTTGGGGAATGTGAAGAGCTGCCCTGGCAGAGTGGGCAGATGACAACAGTTTGTTCCGATGACTGTGAAAGCAGCTGAAGCATGTGCTGCGGAGCTCTGAGAGATTGGTCAGACACTGAAGACACCAAGGTCATCCACTGCATCCCAGGCCATTGTGTCATCTTGACTTTTGTTTTACCACTGGGCTTTGATAACTTTGGAAGAGAGAGTGAGGGGACAACTTTGTGCAACTCTCCCTCACTTAAATCCAATTCACGCGCAAGTCAAGGCATCACCTGGGATGTCATTAGTCCTCTTTGAAAATGAGGGACAAACAATAACACCAGATGTTCAGCTAAGCCCTGGGGACACAAAGAAATTTAAAGACAGTCTCCGACCTCAAGGGGCTTACAGTCTCAGGGGGGAGACAACATGCAAACAAATATACAACCAAGCCAAGTACGGGATGAATTAGAGGTGATCACTAGGGAATGCCTGAGGTTTAAGGTGGATGAGGAAAGGCTTCACTTCCTTTCTGCTGTAATCTTGACCCTATAATGAGCCAATTCAACTTGAATCCCTTGTCCATTGTCCTGTTCCAAATGATCCCTTGACAAACTTCCGCCCTGGATTTGTCCCATCATCCACTTCCTTCTGCTAATAAAGCTGAAGGAAGTCATACAACTATGCTAACTGGGCATATTATAAATTCCTGTTGCCCAATTTTAATTAGGTTCTCAAGGAAGCTAGGCAATCCTTCTATTCTTCCTTAATTGATTCCTTATTCCTTATTCCTTATTCCACAAAAGCTTTTCCAAATGCTCTTTTCTTTCTTTAACCTTCTCACACTACCCTGTCCTCCCTCTTTCTCAGCTTTGGTTCTGGCCTCTTGATGGAGAAACCCAACTTCTTCATTGCAAAATCTCTTAGCATTATTTCACATTCTCTTCTCCTTTCCCTGAATCGTTGAGATGGTCATTCTCTTAGCCAAGGCCAGCCCCCTACATGTGTCCTTGATCCCTGCTATGTGCTTCTGTCTTCTCTAGCTGTTGGCAACCTCAATCATCCCATCTCCCAAATATTCAATCTTTCTCTATTTACCAGTTCTTTCCCAATTACCATTAAAAACACCAAAGTCTCCCCCATTTCTTTGAAAGACTTCTATAGATCCTGCATATAATTCATGAGACCCTCAAGCTATCATCCTGATCCACCTGAGCCTCTTCTGTTTCTCAAACTTCTAGACTAAGCAGTCTGTTCTAGCTGTATCCACTATCTTTCTTTTCACTCCTCAACCCTTCGCAATCTGCCTCTTGTCCTCATCCCTCAACTAAAAGTTCTTTCTCCAAAGTTACTAATGATTTATTTTTTTCTCTTAAAATATTTTTAATTTTTACTTTCAGTTCCAAATTCTCTCCCTCCACCCACCTGGTCATAGGTGTGATCTTTGTGGTATAGTGCTATAATCTCCTTGCTAGCATTTTATTTATTTTTTAAATTAATTTATGTCGATCTGAAAGTTTTGTTAAAGAAGGCAAACAAGTTAGGTGATACATGATTATATAGTTTATTCCCTTTTAGCTAGCGAGTCATGTCAACATGGAAGCCAGAATGTGATTCTGACTCTAAGATTAGGCAAAATGAGAGAGGTTTTATACAGTTTACAGTGATCAGACTCAGGATGTCTGTGTTACAAAAAAATACAGCCTCCATATGTTTTTTTTAACATATAGCATGGGAAAGGAATTTTCTTAATTGAATAGCTTGTAAATACAATAAAATAGGAGAATGTCAAAGTGTTAATTGAAATTATAGACCAAGATAAGAAGAGTCCCATTATTCAAGAGAGTGTCTTGTCCCAGACATCCTGGGCTTAGTGATAACAAACAGGAAGAATGCTGGTCAGTTCCATCTGGTCCAGGAATTTGCTGACATAGGAAGGGGTGTTTTAGTTCACTCAAGGAGAAAAAGATTAATTCAGGTTTTTGGCCCTTATTGGGGCTCAATTGATCTGAAATGATTATCATTTATTTTTATTTATCAACAATCACTTCCATGTGCTTTTAAGTTTAAAATTTTTCCTCCCCCTTCCTCCCCACCACCCTCCCCAAGACGGAGCACGATTTGATATAGGCTATACATATACATTCCTATTAAACATATTTTCACATTAGTGATGTTGTAAGGAAGAATTAGAACCAATAGGAGGAACCACCAGAAAGAGGAAACAAAACTCAATAGAAGAAAAAGAAAAAAAAAAGCAAGTAGTATGCTTTGGTCTGCATTCAAACTCCGTAGTTCTTTCTTTGGACGTGGATAGCATTTTCCATCACAAAACCTTTAGATATGTCTTAGATCCTTTCATTGCTGGGAAGGGTTAAGTTTATCAATATTAGTCATCACACAATGTGGCTGTTATTGTGTATAACATTCTCCTGGTTCTGCTCATTTTACTTAGCATCAGACCATACAAGTCTTTCCAGGTTTTTCTGAAGTCAGCCTGTTCATCATTTCTTATAGCATTGTAGTATTCCATTACATTCATATACCACATCTTGTTCAGCCATTCCCCAATTGATGGGCATCCTCTCAATTTCCAATTCTTGACCACCACAAAAAGAGCTCCTATAAATATTTTGGTACATGTGGGTCCTTTTCCCATTTGTATGATCTCTTTGGGATATAGCCTTAGAAATGCTATTGCTGGATCAAAGGGCATGCACATTTTTATAGCCCTTTGGTCATAGTTCTAAATTGCTCTCCAAAATGGTTGGATCATTTCACAACTCCACCAACAATGCATTAGTGTTCCAATTTTCCCACATCTTCTCCAACATTTATCATTTTCCTGTTTTGTCATTGGCCAATCTGATAGGTTGATGTGGTACCTCAGAGTTGTTTTGATTTGCATTTCTCTAATCAATAATGTAGAGCATTTTTTCATATGACTAGATGGCTTTAATTTCTTCATCTGAGAACTGCCTGTTCATATCCTTTGACCATTTATCAATTGGGGAATGACTTGTATTTTAAAATTTGACTTAATTCTCTATATATTTTAGAAATGAGGTCCTTATCAGAGAGACTGGTTGTAAAAATTCTTTCCCAATTTTCTGCCTTCCCTTTAATCTTAGTTACATTGGCTTTGTTTGTGCAAAAACTTTTCAATTTAATGTAATCAAATTAACCATTTTGCTTTTCATAATGTTCTCTATCTCCTGTTTGGTCATGAATTCTTCTGTTCTCCATAGATCTGATAGGTAAACTATTCCTTGCTCTCCCAGTTTGCTTACAGTATCAGCCTTTATATCTAAGTCATGAACCCATTTTGACTTTATTTTGGTATATGGTGTGAGATTTTGATCAATGCCTAGTTTCTGCCATACTCTTTTCCAGTTTTCCCAGCAGTTTTTTTCAAAGAGTGGGTTCTTATCCCAGAAGCTGGGTCTTTGGGTTTATCAAATAATAGATTACTATAGTCATTGACTACTGTGTCTTGCATATTTAACCTATTCCACTGATCACCACTCTATTTCTTAGCCAGTACCAAGCAGTTTTGATGATTGCTGCTTTATAATACAATTTAAGATCTGGAATGGCTAGGCCACCTTCCCCTGCATTTCTTTTCATTAGCTTCCTTGATATTCTGGACCTTTTGTTCTTCCAAATGAATCTTGTTATTATTTTTTCTAACTCTATAAAACAATTTTTTGGTAGTTTGATATGGCACTGAATAAGTAAATTAGCTTAGGTAGGATTGTCATTTTTATTGTATTAGCTCAGCCTACCCATGAGCAACTGATGTTTTTCCAATTATTTAGATCTGACTTTATTTGTGTGAAAAGTCTTTTGTAATTGTGTTCATATAGTTTCTGGGTTTGTTTCAGGAGGTAGACTCTTAGATATTTTATAATGTCTACAGTGAGCTTAAATGGAATTTCTCTTTTTATCTCTTGCTGTTGGGCTTTGTTGGTAATATATAGAAATGCCGATGATTTTTGTGGGTTTATTTTTTACAGTCTGCAACTTTGCTAAAGTTGTTTATTATTTCAAGTAGTTTTTTACTTGATTCTCTAGGATTCTCTAAGTATATCATCATGTCATCTGCAAAGAGTGATAGCTTTGTTTCTTCTTTACCTATTCTAATGCCTTCAATTTCTTTTTCTTCTCTTATTGCTAAAGCTAACGTTTCCACTAGCATTTTATTAAATATTTTTTTTCATCAATAATGATTAGGAAAATTGGTCTCTACTTGTCTTTCTGTTTTTGCTGTTCTTGGTTTAGGTATCAGCACCATATTTGTGTCATAAAAATTTGTGGTAGAATTCCTTCTTTACCTATTTTTTTAAAAAAAATAGTTCATACAGCATTGGAATTAATTGTTCTTTAAATGTTTGGTAGGATTCACCTGTTAATCCACCTGCTCTTGAGGATTTTTTTCTTAGAGAGCTCCTTCATGGCTTGCTCGGTTTCTTTTTTCTATGATAGGGTTATTTAAGCATTCTATTTCCTCTTCTATTGATCTGGAGAGTTTATGTTTTTGTAAAAATGCATCCATTTCATTTAGGCTGTCAATTTTATTGGCATACAGTTGGGCAAAATAGTTCCTAATAATTACTTCAATTTCATTTTCATTGGTGGCGTGTTCACTTTTCATGTTTGATACTGATAATTTGGCTTTCTTCTTTCTTTTTTTAAGTCAAGTTAACCAATGGTTTATCTATTTTGTAGTTGGTTTTTTTTTCACAAAACCAGCTCTTTGCTTTATTTATTAGTTTTCCTCAGTACTGCTTTGGCTACATCTCATAAATTTTGGTATGTTGTCTTATTGTTTTCTTTATCTTTAATGAAATTATTGATTGTTTCTATGATTTATTCTTGGGCCCATTCATTCTTTAGTATTCGATTTATTTTTAATTTGTGCTTCCAAAGCCCTTTATTGAATACAATTTTATTGCATTATAGTCCGAAAAGTGTGTATTTAATATTTCTGCTTTTCTTCATTTGTGAAGGTTTTATGCCCTAATGTGTGGTCAATTTTGGTGAAGATGCCAGGTACAGCTGAGAAAAAGATATTGACATAGTATATATATGTATATATACATATACACATATAAATATATACATATATGCACGTATATTATATACACATATATGTGCACATGCACACACATATAGACATATGTGTATATATTATACATGTGTGTGTGTGTATAAACTAGACATTCTCTGTCCTGATGATCTCTTGGGGTCCTCCTCCTCCTCATTCCTCAGAGTAAAAATAGGTACTTCCCCCAGTGTCCAACTCCCTCCATTATGAGAAGAGCCTCATGTATATTGACCTCCAAGTATTCACTGGTTTTCCTTCCTCTTCATCTCCGAGCCATAGTTTTCAACCTCTCAACATAGATCTCCATTACCCTTTTCTCTTTCAGGTGTATTTTCTTCTTCATTTCTACTTTGAAGCCCTTCTTTCAGTTTTTCAAAGAAAGTTTCATTCCCCTTCATAGCATGGAGAGTGGAGAGACAAGTGTTTCTTGAATTTCTTCACTGAGAATGAAGAGACCTAGGTCCTACTCCAGCTGTGTGACTGAGCAAGTGTGTGACTTTGGGCACTCTCTGTGTTTCAGGATTTTCAGTGGCAATGGGTATATATGCAAGAAGCCTTCTGCATTTCTAGGGCATACGTTCTAGAGGTCCCTTCAAGTGGAAAAAAAATCCTCGGTACTGATAATAAAGATATTGAAAGACAAAACTTCAGCAGGGTCACTTGAGAATGGGAATCTGACCTTTGCTGATGCATAGATTCTGCAATCCAATGTGAACCAGCAAACCTTTATTAAATGCCTACTATGTGCCTGATACTGTAATAAGTATGGAGATAGAAGGATAAAACAAATATATAGTGAAGGGTTTTGGAAGCACTGGGGAAATATGGCATGTAGACATTAAGTTTATGAATAATTATTTGAGATGGGAAAAGGTATGAGCAATTAGGATTTCAAAAAGATTCCATAGACACTCTTCAGTGAATGTATTACTACCTGCCCTCACTACCGACACTGTCGCAGTATGTGATATTCACACATGCAGTGTTAAAGGTTATTTTCTCATTTACAATGAAAGATTCCTCAAGATAAGCTTAATTACATTATTCCCCATCCCCCCATTAATGTTCATTCTGTGGAATGGGTGTGTGCTTCATCCATTCAGAACCACAGATGACAGGATCACACAGTTTGAGAGTGGGAAGGAACCTCAGTAGGTCACATGACCCAAGCAATTAAAAAAAAAAAGAATTTTCATTACAATGGACCTGACCAGCATTCCTCCATCTTTTCTCTGAAAACTTGATGTTGCAGGGGTAGTTAAGGAATGTCCTGGAGGCTTCAAACAGGCTGAGTTTGCTAATAATTTCTCAATATAAGTGCTGTGAGGGAAGAAACAATGTCGGATCTCAACTTTTTACATTCTCCACCATTCTCCATTTAGCACCATTCTCTGCACACAGGGGCCTCGAAAAAAGTATTTGCTGAATAAACAAATTTACAAATTGGTTCTCAGTGCTGCAATAGTTGGGAGAAAAGATGGAGACTAACATTACATATAATTGGATTATGAATCAAATGGTTGAAAAAAGCTTTATTGGAGACAGGTTATGCATTCATTCCTAGGTGATTAAAGAAGAGCCCGTGTTCTTAAAATTTCTTATTTCCCATCAAGTCAGATAGCGTTGATTTATTTTTAATAGTCAGCTGATTTCCACACAGTATTTATAATTAGCATGATCTGAAATAAAAAACAATAATACTTTAAACACATACAACTTTCCCTTTACATTTCATTAGTTTCACGATAACTGTTTTCGTAACTGTCAGAAAAACGTTTCCCATTCATTTTAGATTATTCACAATCAACCACTTAGCAATGCATTCAGTAGTGTCCTGTTTCCTGTATATGATTAATTAAAAATCATCTTTGAGCTGAGACCCACAGCAAGAAGAATAGTAAGCAAGTTTGTGAGCTGTCATTGTGTTCACATTTTTTTGTTGTTCAGTCTTATTTGACTCTTTGTGACCCCATTTGGAGTTTTCTTGGCAAAGATACTGGGATGGTTTGCCATTTCCTTCTCCAGCTCATTTTATAGATGAGGAAACTGAGGCAAAGTGACTTGCCCAGGGTCACTCAGCTAGTAAGTGTCCGAGGCCAGATTTGAATTCAGGAAGATGAGTTTTCCTGATTCTAGGCTGGACACTCTATCCACTGCACCACCCAGCTGCCCTTCTGTTTACCTTACTCTTCAGCTGTTAATACCTAAAAGTACAAGGGAAATCTACTCTACCCTTTAAGAAATTAACAATAATAATAATAACTACCATTTGCATAGTGCTTTAAGGTATGCAAAGTGCTGTGTACATAGTATCTCATTTTATCCCCAGGTGCCAGGCCTGGAGTCAGGAAGACTCCCCTTCCTGAGTTCAAATCCAGCCTCAGACACCTACTAGCTGTGTGATCCTGGGCAAGTCACTTACCCCTGTTTGCCTCAGTTTCCTCATCTGCAAAATGAGTTGGGGAAGGATAGGCTAAACTACTCCAGTATCTTTGCCAAGAAAACCCCAAATTGGGTCATGAAGAGTCAGACATGAATGAAAAACAACTGAACATCTTCACAACAACTCTGGGAGTTAGCTGTTAATTATTACCTCAATTTATACATGAGGAAACTGAGGTACCTAGAAGTTAAAGGGACTTGCCTAGGGTCACAGAGCTAGGATTTGAACTTAGATCTTCCTAACTCCAGGTCTAATGTCTATCTGGTTACCTGTAATTCAAATTCAGTTCCAGCTTTATGGAATTTAAGTGTAAAGGTAGACTTCAAAGCTAATTTCACTTACTAATGACAATAATCAAGGCTAGGTACAAATAAATGATTAATAGTGGGAATAAAGTGTTCTTGAAAATACTATAAATGTATTGATTGCACTTTATTTTGTAGGTAAATCTTTAGAAACGATTCAGATGCTCAATAACGTATCATCTTGATGCTCACAACAACAAAAAATAAGTCAAAGATGTATGATCTCTATGCAATGAAATCCAGAGATTATATTTTAAAAATCTGGTTTACTTTTTCTTTCCCATTTGAATGAAACCATGGGAAAAGCCATAGATAAGCAGATATGGATAATCCTCATGTATAATAGATAGTCCTTAGATAATCTCTAAGGATTCTTACCATTTCTTGCCTTGACGTTTTCCTCGTGTGAATTCAGAACTAAGTAACCGTGTATATTGCTGTTGTTACGATGTCTGTGCTTTCAGGATTGGCAGCAGGAGTGCTTTCAGCCCCGGTGACAGCTGTAATGGTAGAGATGGGAGCGGGAGGAGGAGGGGCTGTAGAGGATCCAGGAGGGCTCCCAGGAGCTCCATTTGCAGGGCCATTAAGACAAAGCCTTACACAGTTCTCTTGTGGGAAGAACGGTCCTTCCCCATCTCTTTCGTGTGCAGCAGGTGGACTTGGTGGCCCAAAAAAAACTACTGGAGGGGTTGGACCAGGACACCCTCCAGGCCTGGGTCGTCCTCTGGGACCCTGTGGTCCTCTTGGCCCTCTGAAAGGATTGCCGGGTCCTGGATTGTGTATGTCATCATGGTGCTTAGTACAGAGAGAATACATTGGAGATTTATGGGTAGGGATTTACTTAAATAGTATTTATTGAATGCCAGAGACAGAATGAGACAGAGAGAGATACAGAGAGACATGGAGGAAGGAAGAGAGGGAGGGAGGAGGAGAGAGACAGAGAGAAAGTGAGAGGGAGAGAGATAGGGAGAGAAAGAGGGTAGAGAGAGGGAGAGAGACATGGAGGAAGGAAGGGAGGGAGGGAGGAGGAGAGAGACAGAGAGAGAGAAAGAGGGGGGGGAGAGGGGGGGGGGAGAGAGAGAGAGAGAGAGAGAGAGAGAGAGAGAGAGAGAGAGAGAGAGAGAGAGAGAGAGAGTGTAGAGAGAGGGAGAGTAGAGAGAGGGAGAGAGAAAGAGACATGGAGGAAGGAAGAGAGGGAGAGAGGAGGAGAAATATATAGAGAGGGAGAGAGAGAAAGAGGGTAGAGAGAGGGGGAGAGGGAGAGAGAGAAAGAGAGAGAGACATGGAGGAAGGAAAAGAGGGAGGGAGGAGGAGAAATATATAGAGAGGGAGAGAGAGAAAGAGGGTAGAGAGAGGGAGAGAGAGAGACATGGAGGAAGGAAGGGAGGGAGGGAGGGAGGAGGAGACAGACAGAGAGAGAGGGAGAGAGAAAGAGAGAGAGAGAGAGAGAGAGGGAGAGAGAAACAGACATGGAGGAAGGAAGAGAGGGAGAGAAGAGGAGAAAGGCAGAGAGAAAGAGGGAGAGAGAGAGAGGGAGAGGGAGAGAGAGAGACATGGAGGAAGGAAGGGAGGGAGGGAGAGAGGAGAAGAAAAAGGAGGAGGAGGAAGACAGAGAGGGACAGAGTCAGACACAAAGAGAGATAGAGACAGAGACAGAGAGACAGATTCAAAGAGACAGAGAGCGGCACAGTGGACAGAGTCTTAGAGCCACATAAAGCCCTTAGTTCAAGTCCTGTCTCTAACAACAAGACTAAAACCCTAAATAAATGGCTCCACCTCTTAGCATCCCAGGCCACTCTCTAGAACCAGGCTGTATAGAAGGGCTTGTCTCTCTGTGATAGCTGAGGATGTCATTTACCTCATCAAGAGCTCCCTATACTGATAACATCACAAGTCTGGTGCAAAACAGAAAAATTGAGCGGCAGCAAGGTGGCATAGTGGATAGAGCACCGGCCTTGGAGTTAAGAGGACCTGAGTTCAAATCCAGCCTCAGACGCTTGACACTTACTAGCTGTGTGACTCTGGGCAAATCACTTAACCCTGATTGCCTTGGAAAAAAAAATCGACAGCTCCCTTGTCTAAAACCCTGACCTCTGTCTGGTGGGGAGACATAAAGGAAGTGGAAGATATGGTCCTTGGCCTCAAAGAGTTTATAGTCTAATTATCATCTTGTGAAATCACACATGGCACATTAAGGCCACACAGAGAAAAAGCAAAGTACAACAAAAGGAGAAAATAAGTCACAGGGGTGGGGAACTTGTGGCCTCGAGGCCACATGTGGCCCTCTAGATCCTCAAGTGCGGCCCTTTGACTGAATCCAAACTTCACAGAACAAATCCTTTTATTTTGCTATGTTCTTCTGTAAAAATTCCTCCCAGTGGCCTCTAGGTGGTGCCATAGAGCACAGAGCATTGGGCTTGGAGTTGGGGAGATCCGAGTTCAAATTTGATTTCAGACACTTACTAGCTGTGTGACCCTGAGCAAGTCACTTAACCTCTGCCTGCCTCAGTTTCCCCATCTATGTAATGGGGGTGATAATAGAACCTCCCTCCTGGGATTGTTGTGAGGATCAAATGAAAAAAATATTTCTAAAGCTCTTTGTGAACCTTAGAGTTAATGAAACCACATGTAACTATCTAAATAGACATAGGATCACATTCGTATTTGTCTGGAGCTGACGGGTCTTTTTGTCCAACTCTGTTCCACTTTGGGCAAAACTGAACCATATCATCTTGGTGCCTCTGGTTATTTAGGGCAGGTAGACAGGGATTAAGGGTATAAACACTTGCAGTGTCCAGTGAGGCGGTTATGGCTTAAGCCTGTTTCTGCTCGTGTCATACGTGGCAGAGACATATGAACCCACATATATGTACACACATACACATGCATATACACATATATACATACACATACATATACACATGCACATATATACATATACATACATATCTATTCATCTATCCATCCATCCATCTCTCTATCTACCTACCTACTGCTCTGGTGTCCTGTCACCTTCATCCCTCATGGGTTTAGTTCTGTTGCTGCTGAAGGGGCCTTCCCAGCTTTTGGTAGAGATTTGGGGGGTTGCGGGGAGTAATTTACTAGTCTTTCTTTAAGTGGTCACTAGTCTCTCAGTTTGTTTTGCTTCTCTGTTTTTTCTTTATTACAAAAGAGGATTGATTGTGTTCTAAGTGGGATGAGCTATACATGGAAATGGCCTTGATGTAAAAACAAAGGGGCCCAAAACAGTTTTGACAAAACTCTTTTGTGGACATTGGGTCTATGTGCACGTGTAGGCCACACACCAATATAGGAAGGGTTTGGCTGAATTGTTCTTATCTGGCTTCTATCTGTCCTGTTACTATTAGAAATTCGCTAGGCTGCTTTTTATCTCAACCCATTTTCTGTTAGTTGGAGAATAGAAGAAAACTTGTACATGTTGTACTCTCTTGTACTTCTCATGGAGAGACTACCTGAGGAAAGAAGGAAGGAAGAAGGAAGGAGGGATGGAAAAAAGAAATGAAGGAAGGAAGAAAGGAAGGAAGGAAGGAAAGAAAGAAGGTAAGAAGAAAGAAAAGAAGAAGGGAAGGTAAAGATGACATAAAACTTACTTTTCTATGGTGTCTCCTCTTATGTCCTTCAGCTGGCTAAAATGTTGTCCACATGTAAATGCGTAGTAAAAAAACAAAACAAAACAAACGAATTAGACTCAGTGCAACATGGCATAGTGGGTAGACAGCTGGCCTCTAAGGCTGGAATTAACCAATCAATCAACATTGATAAAGCCCCTACTATGTACCAGGAAGTGTGCTAGGTACTGGGAATACAAAAAGAGGCAAAAGAGAGTCCTTGCCCTCAAGAAGCTTACAATCTAATGGGAAGATAATATACAAATACACAGACACAGAGCAAGCTATATACAAAATTAAAAGGAAATATTTAGCAGAGGGAAAGAACTAGAATTAAGAGTGGTTGGGGAAGGCTCCTTGTAAAAGATGGGACTTTAGTTGGCACTTAAAGGAAGCCAGGGAGGTCAGTAGTTGGAATGGAGGATGGACAGCATTCCAGGCACAGGAGAAAGCCAGAAAGAATGTCTGAAGCTGAGAGATGGAGTGTCTTGTTTGTGGCACAGCCTGGAGGCCAATGACACTGGGTCAAAAAGGATGTGTTGGAGAATTAGGCTTAAGAAGACTGGAAAGTTAGGAGGGGGTAGGTTATGAAAGGCTTTGAATGCCAGATAGAGCATTTTGTATTTGCTTCTGGAGGCGTAGAGAACCACTGGAACTGAGTGGGCATGGGGTGCATGGATGACATGGTTGGACCAGGATTCAAGTTTTGTTTCTTGCACAGACTGGCTGTGTGACTTCGAGCAAGTCATTCCAGGATAGTGTTCTGGGCGCTTCTCTAAGGCTATAACTAAGCATGATGATGATGATGATGATGGTGATGAACAGCGTTTACATGTCATGCTCTATACGTTTGTCTTCTTATTTCCAAAGTCGGTACCAACCAGCACGGGGATGGAGGGATTGTCCTCACTTGGGAGTTCCCTCTGCCTATACTGAACTCAGGGCATGGTGTCTTCCAGTAGGAAAGATTATGCATTATTCTTGGTGATGAAACAAGGAAGAGGCAGAGTGGGTAGAAAACACATTTAAAGGAATTTTAAGCCACTCAATGTCACCGTCATAGAGATATATTAACATCATCATACAGCCAGTTCATTGGTGTCAGGGACAGAGTTCCCAAAGTAATTAATTTCCATTGTTGGTTGGCCTGTGGGTAATGATAATATCAAGCATTCTTTTTAAGAAAAGTTGAGAACAGCACTTTATACTGAACTCTCTCATGAACTAGGTTGCTTTAAGAAAAACAAAATGATAGACTTTGATAAGAAGATAGCTTTATGATACTGGGTACTTACAGAGAAGCAAGTAGTTATGGTCAAGACAACCGCAATCAGGATTAGGGCCTTCATCTTTTCTTACTCTAGAAATGGAGCGAGAGAATCTTCTGTTGAAGTTGGAAGAATTAATGAAACGAAACAGCAAATTTATTTTTTACTTAAATTTCAATCAAGGAATTTACGTGAAAAGATCATTCTCTAACTATGATATTGACCCATATTATTTAAAATACTTCCCAGGGGTTGAGGGTGGGGTGCAGCAGGGAACAAAGACACTAATTTTGAATTTAAATGAAGGCTTGTTTAAACAAATCAAAATTATACATTACATATTTTTGTTACTGCTACTTTGGTTATTTATATGGAATTGTTCTTTAGATTTGACATTGAGGATCTTTTCCACTTATATGTATATAATATATAAAATCAATTTCCATTTATATACACATACACATAATCAAATTTGTTAGATTCTGTTAACGAGAAGAAAGAAGAGCTAGGTGTCCATTTATAGACACTAAATTGTGATTTCATCAGGGTGTAAAGGATGCAGTAATGTGGTCTAATATAATCTGTAATTTGTAAGTCTTAATGAGCAATCTGGGGCTCAGAGATGCTACTTGCCCAGAATTACACAGATAATAAAGGGAAGTTGGAATTTATGTCTAGATCCTCTTGACTCAAGGTCTAGAACTCTATCCCGCATGCCAGGTTGTCTCACAGGCATGGATAATGGTTCATTTTTATGCTCACATCTCCAAATGCTAATTGTGACTCATCTATGAGAGATAAATTCTAAGGAGCTGCTCAAATCACATAGACTAATTAAGTGACTTGCCTAGAGTCACACAATTAGTAATAAGTTTTGGAGGTGAGAATCCCTGGTCTTCCTGACTCCAAACCCAGCAATCTACCCACCACCTCTAATTTCAATTAGATTTTTCAATTAATAATTTCAAGTAATAATTTCAATTAATTTCTGATTTTAACATCCTGTTAGAAACCTGATGAAAACCTGTCTTTGTGGATATAGCAGGTACCATACAGTGGATACAGCCTTCCTTCTCTCCCGGTCTTGCTGCCTTCAGCTCCTCTTGCTTGGAGATTTCCAGAAAGATTAGTGGGATTCTCAGCTTATAAATGGTTCTAGTTCTCATTTCCCTCTCCAACTCCTCCCTCCTGCATTGGGGAGAAAATAAAAAGTTTGTAATATTGGGGGTGTTGCTTCCGGGCTAATCCTGGCTATTTCCTGAAACTAATAAAGGAGTGGTCTGGTCAGAAGAACTTGTAACAGGTTGCCCTTTTTGCATTACAAAAATGTCCTGTACAATTATTTTATCTGTGCATCAGAAGTAAAAGTTTATTCATTATGGTGCCTTTCATCCATTTAACTCCATACTTTCCAGATCCATGTCTCTTCCTCTAAATGATATATTTTCCCATCTAATTTACCCTCTCTCCATTTTCTTTTAGTGTAGTCTTTTCTGTACTCTAAAATTGGCATCCTTGCTATGCCTAGTATTTAATGTTCCATCTTCTGCCTCTTTGGCTAGGCTGTCCTCAATGTCGAGATGTCCTCCTACCTCACCACCCCCTTAACTTTCTCTAAGGCTTAGCTCACATGCCATCTACTTTGGAAAGCCTTTCCTGGACTCCAAAACTGATTTGAACTCAGGAAGATGGGGAAGGTTTGAGGGAAAGATAATGGTTTCACTTTTAGATGTTGAGTTTCAGAGGTCTCCAGAACATCCACTTTGAGATGTCTACTAGGTAGTTGGAGATGACACTGGAGGTCAGCAAAGAGGTTAGAACTGAGTCCTTAGCACAGATATGATCACTGAAACCATGGGAGCTGATAAGATGGCCAAGTGATATAACATAGAGGGAGAAGCATGCCTAGGACAGAGCCTTATGGGACACCCATCATTAGCAGCTATGACCTGGATAGAGACCCAGTAAAAGATGTTGAGAAATATCAGTCAGAAAGGTTGGAGAAGAACCAAGATAGAGTAATGTCATGGAAACCTGTAGAGAAGAATGTATGAAATGATCTACAGGGCAAAGGCTACAGAGAGGTCAAGAAGGCTGAGGCCTGAAAAAGGGTTCTTAGACTTAGCAATTAAGAGATCACTGGTAACTTTGAAGAGAGCAGTTTTTGTTGCATGATGAGGTCAGAGGCCTGACCACAGAGAATGAGAAGAAAGGAAGAAGATGGTCTTCTTAAAGAGTTCAGCAGCAAAAGGGAAGAGAGAGATATGGAAATGAATAGATCAAGTTAGGGATTGAGGATTGGAGAGACATGAGCATATTTGTGGGCAGTAGGAAGCAGCCAGTAGTCAAGGAGAGATTGAAGATGAGTGAAAAGGTGGGGGTGATGGCATGATCTGCTGGAGAAGATAGGATGAAATAGAATTACTTGTACATGGGAATGAGTTTGCCTTGGTAAGGAGAAGGGCCATCTCTTTATATGAGACAAGTGAAGGAAAAGATAATGGGAGAAATTAACTGAATTATGAGAGAAGAGGAAGGGAGAAAAGGAGCTCTCAGCAAATAGCCTCAATTTTTTCAATAAGCTACGGGGAAGAGTTCTTAATAAATGTTTTAAAAAGACCTTTAATTGATACTTATTGCTTGTTGGTGGCTACTGTAGAAGGATACACAAAAAGAAATAAAATCCCACTAATTAAATCTTTACAATATTCTTTAATTTGCCTTTCCCACTAAATGAAGAGATTAGATTTAGATTTGGAGGTGGAAGGGACCTTGGGATTCATCTAATCTAGCTCCCTCATTTTACAAATGAGAACCTTGAAATCCAGAGAAGAGAATGTCCTTGATCAAGGTCACAAGGTAATAAGAATAACACAGGTGCAATTTGAACCTAGGTCTTCTGATTCCAAATGTCTTCCCATAAGACCGTACTGCTTTGTTCCTTTTTAGCTGCAAATGTTTCCTCTAAAACAGGGGACATTTTGTGTATCTTAGTCACAAAAGGCAGACCAGTTAGTTAACAATAGATAATGTCCACATTGTAGTAATTTGGATACTATTTCTAGGACACGAACTATAGTTATTCATGGTCATTGAATTAATGACTAGAAAAGTGAAAAAACAGCATGTACTTAGACCTAGAACACCTATTTGTATGTAATTGGTTATAATATTTCCAATGCCTTCCTTTCAAAGAAATTGCTCTCCTTAGCATGTTCACTTGGCACTAGCTCACAGCAAATAAATTCACTATAAATGAAAACACTCCATACCATTTTTATCCCTTGCCATTGATGGTGCGGACCCTAGAGACAATTCCTTATTTCTGGCTCTTAATTTTTAAAGAATTCCTTTATTATGTTCAACCCAACATAAATCTGACTCTTTTCAGCAGAAAGAAATTGAGTTTTCATGATGCAAAAATGCTGTACGTTAGCATGAACAGGAGCCCTAGTCTCTTTTATACCTTATTTAAAACTCTTTGGAGATAGAGGATTCCAGGGACCCTTCCACATCTCACAAGGGTGGGAGAAGAAGCCATATAAATGCTCAACTCCACTTCCTAGACTAGAGGGATGGATACTTGGGTCAAGGACAAGAACCTACCATGAAGAATTGAGATCATTTGACCATCCAGGTGGTAGTTGTTTTTCGTTTTTTTGTTTTTTTTTACAAACCTCAATAAAATCTCCAAAAAAGAGTGATGGTAAAATTATGCACCAGATGTAGACTAATGAAAATTGATCCATAAAATAAGAAGACAGAAATGTGCCAGGTAAAAGTCTTATGAAATACTGGCAGAAAACTTGAATACTTAGAGCTCCGGCACAGTGTCTCCATCCCCAAATCATTCAATGTGTCAGGCACTGTCTCTGCAAGCAGTTTCACAGGCATGTGCTTCAGGCTTCAGTCAATTAACAGACTAGTCAGTTAACAAGCATTTATTAAGTGCCTATTATATGCCAAGCACTGGGGCAAGAGCAGGGGATACAAAGAAAAGAAAAAAAACAAAACTATAAACACTCACAGGGTACTGTAATTTAATGGGGGAGACATCCAAAAAAATGGACGAGCAAGTTATACACAGGATAAATTAGAGATAATCTCAGAGGGAAGGCACTATCAGTAAGGGGAATCAGGTAAGGCTTTTTGAAAGATAAGAGATTTTGCCTGGGGCTTCAAGGAATCCAGGAAAGCTAGTAGACGAAGGTGACCTTGGCTGTGGCTTTGCTTGAACCTCACCCCCAACCCCACAAGGGGAAGCAGACAGAAACTAGAAGAAGGAAGTAGATGAGAAAAGCAATAGGGAGCATAGGACAGAATGAGATGGGGGTGGGCAAGCATCCGTACCTTAGGGAAGAAGGCTGCACGCACAGCTATGGCCTATCCTCTCCCACTGCAGCTTACTCTGGGCAGGGACCCGGGCTCCTCTGCACCCTAACACAAGGAGGCTAAGGATTCATAGCTTTGTATATGGCTGTACAATAGGAGAAGTAGGATGGGCAAAAACATTTAGAGGACAACCAGAGATAAGTGCCTGGGAATACAAGAGAGACCCTGAAAGACCAAAGGGCCGACAATGAAGCTTGAATAAAACCTGGGCTGATAATGAAAGAATGAATGAATATAAACTCACTAATTAAGTGCTGCTTTATGCCAAGCATCATGCCAAGCAGCTAGGCATACATTCACAGGAGCAAAAACAGTCCCTTCCCTCAAGCAGAAGAGCACAGTGTCTAGGAAGAAGCAATTGGTATAGAAAGTCATTGGAACGGTGAGTGGGGACATATGGGAATAGACTGATGCTACCTTTAAAAAAGCAATGGCTAGGTTGATTTGATCATGGAACCCAAAGTAGAGGTACATTGTGGAAACAAGGCTGCCTAGAGTAGGGTGGTTAGGAGGTAGGGAGTGAAAAGTAGCATGAAGAGAGCCAGCCTGACCAGCAGGATCCCCACAGCCAAAGCTTCAAAAATTAAGGGTGATGACAGTGTCAGAGGAGAGAAGGGGGCATGTGTGAGAGATGGTATAAAGGTGGTATCAATAGGACTTGGCACTAGATTGGACGTGGGGGATCGTGAGAGAGAGTGAGGAGTCAAGGATGAAACCTAGTATTTGAGCCTCGGTAACCAGGCAAAGAGAAAGACCACCTTTTCTTGTGAGACAGGGGTGAAGGAAGAGATGTTCCAGGCAATGTGCTAAATGCTGGGAAAACAAAGAAAGGCAAAAACAGTTCTTGCCCTCAAAGAGCTCATAGTCTAATGGCGAGGACAACATATGCTCCACAGGTACGGGAAAATTAGGAAGAGGGGAGGGTTTGGGGGGGAAATGAAGAGTTCTGTTTTGGTCATGCTGAGTTGAAGATGTCTAAGAGACATCCAGATTGAAATGTCCAGTGGGCAGTTGGAGATGTGAGAGTGGAGGTCAGCAGAGAGGTAGGGCTGGACAGGTAGAATTGAGAATCATCACCATAGGGGTGACAATTCAGACCATTGGAGCTATGAGATCATCAAATGAAATAGTACAGAAGGAGAAGAGAAGAGCGCCCAGGGCAGGGCCCTTTGGTATATCCATGGTTAGTGGGCATGACCTGGATGAAGAAGAATGGTGAGGTTAGAAGCCAGAGAGTTAAAAAGAAAACGAGAGGAAAGGAAGTGGGGACACCTGTTGTAGATGACCCTGACCTTCTCAAGGAGTTTAGCTACAATAGAGAGAAGAGATATAGAACTGGTAGCTGGTAGGCCGGATAGATCAAGTGAGGGTTGTTTTTTGGGCTTTTTTTTTTTTCTGAGGATGGGGCAGACAGGCATCTGTTTTTACATAGTAGGGAAACGGTAACTACACAGGGAGAGACCAAATATTAGTAAGAGAATAAGAATAACACAGGGGGTAATTTGCTGGAGAAGATGGGATGGAATGAGATCTCTTGTGCTTGTAGAGGGGTTTCCTCTGGCAAGAACAAAGACCACATCTTCTTGTGAGATGGGGTAAGGGAGACGGGTGGGGCACTGTACCAAATGCCAGGAATAGGAAGAAAGGCCAAAACAATCCTTGCCCTCAAGGAGCACACAGTCTAATGGAGGAGATACCACGTAAACAACTCGGCATAAACTCTGTGTGTGTGTGTGTGTGTGTGTGTGTGTGTGTGTGTGTGTGTGTGTGATATGCATCTATGTGTGTACATGTCT